ACGGCGGCGCCATAGGTGGCGCAAATTGGCAAAAGCCAATCGAGCCTTTTGTATCCGTGCAGAAATCTCATCGGCAACTAACCCACCGGGTTGATCCTACTTCCCAGGTAAGTGAAGTGGTCAACACACTCAACCACTTCACTCTCTATTGTTAACCGCGGTACCGCTGAAGACCAGTCCTGGAGCAAAAATTTGCATTTGGGTGGTGAAAATCGCATCCCAAACATTCTCAAATTCCCACTCAAAGTGTTCAGAAGACTCTGCATCTTGTCAGCGTCTTCACCTAACAGGACTATGTCATCTGCATATTCTAGATCTAAGGAAAATTCACCTGTGATTCGGTCAACGTCTTTGTAATTAGGTGACGAGAGGGAAACCTCCATAAGAATATCTATGATAAAATTAAATAAGAATGGGGATAGTGGGCATCCTTGACGGACACCACTTGATGAGTATAGCTCCCTGGACAACTCACCATAGGCTCTAACATGCCCACAAGTGTTCGAGTAGAGAGCTTTCAATAAGGTGATGTACTTACTAGGCACGCCTTTCAGTGACAGACACTGCCATAAGACTTCTCGATCAACGGAGTCAAATGCCGCCTTCAGGTCGAGAAATACAGCTATTGTCGGGCGTCTGTAAGCATGCCTATGTTCCAGGACCTGGCGCAGTGTGAATATTTGGTCGATACATCCACGGCCAGGTCTAAAGCCTGCCTGGTTTTCTCGGGCTTGCTGTTCCCGAGCTCCACTCAGGCGTCGGAGAATTATAGAACTTAGGATCTTAGACACTATGTTTGTCAGGCTGATTCCTCTGTGGTTATCACAAGAGGACTTCTCGCCTTTCTTGAAGACTGGGATGATGAGTGACTTAGACCAGTCGGAGGGGATCGTATTTGATTCCCATATACTGGCTAACACTTCCGTTAGCCTGACTAAGAGAACTCTACCACCATTCTTGTATACCTCAGCAGGTAGTCCGTCTGGTCCTGCTGCCCTTCCCGTTTCAGGCTACCTACCGCTTTCTCAACTTCTTCTAGTGTTGGGGGACCTGTCTCTATGTCCCATTCAGGGTCCGACTGGATAGCGGGCAGCGCAATGGTGGCTGGAGGCCAGTTAAACTGTTCCTCAAAGTGTTCTGCCCATCGTCCCAGTCGCCTTCCCTGCGAGTGAATCGCCGATCCGTCCTTCTCCGCTATAACCTCACTAACTGTTGTTGACCATTTCCCCCCAGTCTCCTTAATAAGTCTAAATAACTGTCTACTGTTACCGATCGCCGCTGCCTTTTCCATCTCTTTAGCCTTTGCTGCCCACCACTGTTCACGATCGTTGCGCAGACTTTTCGTCAGTTTATTTTTAAGTTGCGCTCGCTCTTCATTGTACTCAGAGCCTGCAGGGATGCATTCACGTGCATCCATTAGTTTGGAAGAAGCTGCTGATATCCACTGGCTCTTTTTAGCCATTATCTTGGAGTCGGCTACAGTCTCCAGTGCTGCTTTTACAGTAGACTGAAGATGGCACCAAGCTTCTTCTGGATGAGTGACAGTCTTTTGTTCCGATAACTGCCTAGCCAACTTCTCACTGAACACGGCTTTGGTGTTTTCGTTGTCCAGCAGAACTCGTAGTGGTTTTGTTGCCAAATTTTTTCTACGTCCATTGAGACGCAGGCATATACGTGCTCGGACCAACGCATGATCGCTGTCCAAACACGTACTCCAGAAGGAGCGGCAGTCTTCCACCGATCCTCTCCAGCGATGACTAATAGCAATGTGGTCTATCTGTGTCCATCGCTGAGTCGAGCTCGGTGGACGCCAGGTCAGACAGTGCCTTTCTTTATGTCTGAAATTTGTGCTGGCTAAAAATAGGCGGTTATCTGAGCATAGTTGTAATAGGCGATCACCGTTATCTGTACGTTCAGCTGGGATTCCGAAAGTGCCACCTAAGTGCCTTTCTGCCTCACTCAGTCTACCCACCTGTGCGTTGAGGTCACCTGCAACAACCACTACGTCCGAACGTTTGGCTTTCGAGAGGAGGTTAGACAGTTTATGGTAGAACTCGTCCTTCACTTCATCCGAACTACAGTCAGTGGGTGCGTAAGCAGAGATTACAAAGAGACAACGGCGAGTCTCACTATTCCTTTTAGTTCTCACTGTGCCGTTCAGCCTCATAGCGCAGAGGCGACTATCAACTGGGATCCAGTCTAGTAGTGAGTTTTCTGCCCTGGTGCTTAATGCTATACCTACACCTGCAAGACCACGAGAGCTAGCTATCGAATCTCCAGAAACTCGAAGGGTGAATTTTGCAGATTCACCAGATTGGTCAGGAGAGGTCAGGTGAATAACCACACTTGGGTCCTGTATGCGTGTCTCACAAACACAGCACACATCCATGCCCGAGTTGCTAGAGTCTTTGCCAACGAAGCCTGTTGGCCAATTTGACGGAGGGTGCGGACATTGAAGGCTCCAATATGTAATTTGGAGCGTGGTTTAAGGAGACCAGGGATGCTGTTCTGTGGACTCAGATCGTTGTCGAAGGCTGCAGAGGTAGGAGAAATTGAAGATGATGCAGCATCATTAATTAAGAGACGTGAAGGAAGATTAGAAGGTAATGATGGAGGAGGAGGATAGCAGTCAGAAGAAACTTGGGTGCTGACAGAGTTGTGAGGGCGGTTGACACTTCCCGGCTGCCCACACCGTGGAAGGCTATTTCTTCTTAAGGTACCTGAAAGAGATTTGTGTGACCGCAGAGCCCATCGGACATCTGCTTGAGGCCTGTCACACCCAGCCTTTTGAGTATGATTATTTTGAATTTTTGTATTTTTGGGGCCGGATGGGCGAAAGGAAACGACAAGTGAACCAACACCGCCGGCCCGGCAGACCGTGGGGCGTGGTGGAGTGTGTTATTTTTGGGGCCGACCTTTTCTAACCCCCCCTTCCACTGAGAAGGCAGCATCAGCTTGGCACTGCTGGTCATCCAAGGGAAACACCTTACTGCTGTCACACCCCATCCAGCTAGCAGCAGTACGACTTCGCCCTCAGACCCCCATCATATGTAGCAATTTACACTATAACGGTAACTGCTTTTCGTCTAACCACTACCCAACAGACCTTTCTGGTATGGTAGGACCTCGAGGGAACAAGCGTTCCACCAGCATAGCTCGTTGGGTCATTGTGATATGCAAGCCCGACCACCACGTCAAGGTAGCAGCTAGATAGAGTCAAGTGAGTACTTGCCCTTGATATCATTCCTTTTCTACCTACCTGTTATTGTGTGCTACTGTAAAGTGTGGTAATTTGAGCTGATACACGTTTGTAGGTGGGTTTTACGCTGATTTTTTCAGCCAGTGTCGGTCATAGCCCGAGATACCAGAGTTTTGGATGATGAAGTATGTCCGATTTGACAGGGTTTGCGAAAAAAGAAAGACCAGGCGTGCTGTCTCCTTAATTCAATTAGTTACTAAAAGTTGCAGATCCTAAAGAACTGAAAGATGGTCTAAGATTACTAACAGAGATGTGTAGAAATATTGAAAAGGATCAATTTGAAAAATTGATAGTGAGATCATGTGCTGAAGAAAGTTGTGAGGATTGTAGAGACTTCTGTTGCCCTCACCAACCTGTGCATGGGAACCTGCTGCAATAATCTGATCCTAATGTTTGGCTTTCATTAGGGGGCTAGTTCCTGCATTGCCATGCAATATCCTAAAGTTTTCACCGACATTGCTTTTTCAAGTTTCTTCTCGTTCCTTGCACTTTTGTCTACTACGATATCACTCTTTATCTACCCACTTGTTGTTTGCATGCTACTATGGTGTGTAGCAGTCTAAACTGATACACGTTGAGTTAGCTTCCACTTTGATTTGTGTGCTTGTCTCTGTCTGGTTTTATTTCCGTTTTATGTGTTTGCTTTTTGTAGTTTAGTAGACCCTTCTACAACTTATTGGAGCTGAGGCTCACTGGTTTAGGTAGTTGACTTCCAACCAGTGAGTCACAGTGTAGAGGACCACCCACCTTTTGGAGTTTGGACAGCTAGGCAGTATCATTAACCCTCACACAATAAGTGTGGTTCACTGCCTATTACACAAACGTGGACAAAGTTGTTGAGTGCGTTTTAGTTTCGTTCTTCCGATTGAGGATCGCTGTTTGCCACAGTTTATTGTTTATTGTCTTTGGATAAAGCGAATTGGATTCACATTCGAATCAACTTTGCTTTTTGTCGTCTCATTTATTTCAGTCCTAGTATATTGTTGTATCACTCGTGATCTAATGTCATTTTTTTCACTGAATTTATTACGTGTGTTTTCATGTTTTACTGGCGATGGTCTTGAAGTTCCAAACCTTTTTGTTGAAAACTCAGGCTTTTAGTTGTTAAATTTTCCTGGCTTAATCTAGTAATTCACTGTGACGAATTTAATAAACAAACTAAAATGAAATTACTGTCTACCATAGTGCCCAGGTTTTGACCCTATAACAATGCTTTATGAAATTAGTGTGCCTAGGTGTCTTATTTGCGAATGGATAGTATTTATCTTGATCGCGTTCATGAGACTTCATGCAGTCAGATAAATTCTAAGTACTTCGACTAATTCTGCAACTAGGTGAAATGAATCACGACTGTTATGCCAATCAACTTTGAGACTGTATGCTATCCTGACGTGCTTTGAGACTGACTTTACAGATGATTAGCGTAAAATATTAGACCTTTGTGTATAACTTCATTTTAGTGTTCATAACTTTATTACTATCCTTTCTTGTTTATCACTCAGGATTTCATCAATGCACTTTTGTTTGACTTAGAAACACCACAGAAACCCCAGTGAAATACTGCCATTAAAAATTCAGTGATTTTTTCCTGGAAGGATGCTTGTTTAATAGTAGTCTTGCGGTTCAAATTTAACGAGAAGCAACTAAAGTAAATGGCTTGTAGCTGTTGATTTTTGTTTCTAACATTGAGTGTGAACATAAATGTTAACTGGATTTTCAAAGCATCTTTTGCATATTTCAGGATTTTGATCCTCTAAACACCGAGAAAAGTTCTGATCAATCTCGATTCGTTAACCCTTTTTCATGTTCACGTTGCGGTGCAGACTTTACACCTGTTTGGAAACGTAAGCGCCCTGGTTCGTCTGAAGTTGTTTGTGAAGCCTGTATAATTGATGGTCAACGTTCTGTCATTCATAAGGCGTATAGTAGTGTCGTTTCAGTGGCACTTAAACAGCATGCTGTTTCTGAGCGTGAGATTGAGCATGAATACCAAGATGTTGTCAATTCGCCTGCTAAATTGGAAGCCTTCATTAAGGAACACGAGCGCAAGCTTTTTGTCACCCAACAAGCTCAGATTGCACAACAACAGCAGCAACAAATACAACAAGTTTCTTCATCTGCCAGCTTGCATACTAATCAGCGATACCATCAACAGCAACAAGGTTTCCAGTCCCAGGTACGGTTTTATTGAAATGTTAGCAGTACTTCAGTTTTGGTTTTAATTTTTAGCTATTATTTGGCGTACTAGGATATCGGTTATCATAGATAATGGGCCTTTTAAGATTGACTTGTTATCTGCAGCCTGTGTGTTAAGATCAAATGTGAAGAAACTGCGATGTAGTAAGGTTCTTTGAGGATATGGCACGTATAAATATACTTGTTATATGCAGTGGAGCCGTTTTTGGTAAACAGCACTCTCGGAAATCGTGTCATCGAGAAAGGAGCTGTTAAATAAGGTTGGTTTCAGAGACCAAACGTGTCTTGCAGTAAATCCGCTTTCACGTAGCAAAAGAAGCTCAAGGGTGAACGTCTAGCCCCATCACCGACCTATATTCTGACTAACTGCGACCCAGATGCTGTTAATGATTATTTCTACCAACAGGTGAGTGGTATTCTGTACTAAGTGTGGTCAACTGATATTGTTTTAATATTTGAGGATTTGAATGCGCAGACCAGGGTTTAGTCTATCGCAGGTTGAATAATCCAAACGGTCTTTTGCTATCTTCTACAAATCACTACTCATTTCTGGTGGGCACCAACTTCCGGCACAGCCATTGTGTTATCTAGCATCCCCCCCTATCACTCAATCTTGAGGTCAAATTGGTCACGTTGCTACCAACTGCCGATGTTGTGGATGCATTGAGGACTGCTGCTCCTTCTGGAACACCTGTGTGTGAACTGTGAGCGTGCTTTAGTGTTTGGCTGAGTTCATCTTACTCTTCGGTGGCTATCAAAATTGTCGTTATCGAACTGACGGCAAATTGATTGCAGAGTGTTGTATTTAGTTACTGAACCGAACTATACTTAAAATTAGCTGTCGGACTGCCAAAAAGCACGGATAAGCATTGGCTGGACCTACAAGACAAAATAAAAGTGACAGGAAAATCTCTTTGTGGCTTTCTGCAAGTTCTTGACGCTTGCCGGTGTGCGTGAGTCCTTTACGCGACAGATGATACGGCATTTGGATGAGGATCGTGATGTCTGGGGTTTAAATGTGCAAGTGAAGTGGGAGCGGTTTCTCCGCCTGCAATAGTTGTATGCCATCCCAGCTCACCTGAATCACTGGCAGCAGGCAGTTTGGTGTCATTGGGGTTGGTCTATGAAGTACGGGGTACACTGATCTACGAATTTTCTAGTCGCCATGAATGTTGGGTGGTTTCGTTGTTAAACTGCTCCGGCAAGATTTACCCCATGATCAGTTAGCACTCATCCACCTAACGAAGCAGAAGATCGTAAGGAGTCCAAAGTTATTAATGCGTTACGAGGGACTCAACCCAGTTGTGGTAACTTAGGCCGATGCACTTTTGTGCGAGGTTCTACGCTGATTTTGTCTGTCTGACTCAGCTCAAACAACCCGTTCCTTGATCTTTTTAAGGATGCAGATGAGGGTTGTTAGAAAACTGACTACTTTTTTGGAAAGGTATTCTATCCTATCACTATGATGTATCCATTTTTATACTCATCTTTAAAAGGTCTGTATGTGTTATAATCTTCTGGGTAGCAGTCTGCTGCTCGTAGCGTCCACATTTTTGCCACTGTAATACTATACGGGCTATGCAAAACGCATAAAAAAAGATCAGTGAATAGTCTAGGTTTCGTTCGGGTTGTGGATACATTGACCACATGTTCACCCTGCACTAGATTTTGAACCAGTGTTGCACATATTTCAGATCAGCGATCGTTCTACTTGTGCATATTAGAGCAGCCTTCAATTTGTTGAACAGTTGCACTCTAGGATTGTTTGATAGAAAGGAATGTTTCTGAAAACTTTAAAAGCCTAGTGCTTCAAAACCATGGGCGCGCACTGCTGACGAGTCCCATACTAGGACGAAATAGCTGTCCAGTGCTTCCAGGTTTCCAATGTTCCTCCGACTGATGTCAGTCCATGATGAACACCAACTTGAAAAGATGGACAAGTTAGATTAATGAGTTGAGTAACATGACAAAATGTTTAATGAATGAGTTATTATCTTGGTGAGAATAACAGAATATTTGATGTGTATGAAATGAATAAAACGAAAGAGCTAAACGGGGGAAAATGTTTTGAAACGCTAAATATTAAGATCCTGAAGGATGAAGTGACTGAGGAAGTCTCTTTTGTCTGCGAAGTTCCGATTTTTCTATTTGGATTCTTTGGGGCTTTCATCGCACTGATTTCGCCAAGTCTTTTACTTTGCAAGTAACTTTGAAAGACGTAGTTGTTGAGATTTTAAGGCAAGTGATACTGAGCTATCGCAATTCTTAAATGTCTTCTGTTACTTCTTTGTAGTCATACAGGACATTGTTCGTGAACTCCTTTTGACGAGACTCGTGTCAAACGATCAAGTACGCAGAAGCAGATGAACTGATATGTGCACATACGCCGATAGTCAGACGCGAGATCTTGTTTTGTTCGAAGGATTACCCGCATCTGATAGAAACACCAATTACATAATTCTGAGTGAAGTGGTGTGTATCTTGGTGTGGTGGCAATCGCTACCAGCTTCGATGACTAAATATGCGTTACAGATCTTGTCTTAGTGACTCCTATATAGCTCACTATTCGCTTGGTCAGGACTGGTCGGGAAAGAAATAATCAGTATGACTTAGCGCCGTGGGATAGAGGATGGCTGTTTTTGATTGGCATCTGTAGATGCCGCACCACTCTCTGGAAGCCATCTGAGGAGTCGTGTAACAGTGGTTTGAGACGATTGCAGATAGCTCAGGACCAAAACCAGTAGTGATCGTGCTGCAACCTTCTTGTTTTTCCTCTCACAAACTTCAGGAGTTTTTTACGGATAAGGTTGTTTGGAACGGTAGTGAAATCTTTACGATTAAATCGTCCATCTCAGAAAATGTAGTGCATAGGTTTTCTTCATTAACTGTAGAATGTGATGGCTAAACTTTAGTTTCAGTTGGCGTAGTTTCGTTTTATTCTATATCATGTAGTAGTACTGAGATGACTATTAGGGTTTGCCAAAGGATGCTTCAAACTTATATTTCACTTACTTTCCGGATTTTTTTAAGAAATATGTTTTTCATCCTCATAGAATACATTCAACAATGCCGGTAGCTCAAGGCATGGACAATCGAACGCAGTTAACACCGTGGCGTCAACTCAACTGGGAATGTCTAACGTGTCTTCTCGCCGACAACCAGCATCTAATAATGCCAATGTTAATTCTCCTGCTTCTATACCTATTCAGCAGCAAGGGCACTCGACGGGAAATGTCGTCCAACAGTTGGCTTCTCGCTATCAGCAGCTTACGAAGGCTGCTGTTGCTGCTGTAGTTGGCGGAGGTCAAAACCCAGTCAATCATTCTGTTGCTAGTAATGCGGCTACTGCTAACTTAATGATGGCTGCTGCAGCAAATCCTATGCTTGCAGCAGCTGCGGTATCAGCAACTAGCCAACAGCAACAATCAGTTGCACAACAGCAGTTAACAGCTGCTGCATTAGCGCAGCAGAGGTTGGCAGCGGTCGCGGCTCTCAACTTTCAGCATCAACAGCCTCATCACGCACAGCCTTCGACAGGAACAGTAGCACCCAATTCTCCCATAGACCACTTGGCCCAGTTTACGCAAATGCAAACATTATTGATGAGTAGTCTCCTAGGGAATGCAGGTATGTTTTACAGCACATTGGTTTATCATGATCACGATCATATTTATGCACTTTCATTATTGAGAACCCAGACCTATTCGTTTCCTATTTACGCATAGTTTATGACTTTGTAGTATGAACTAACACTTACTATCACTTTCGTGGGTAATAAGCCTCAAGTTTAATGTCAAAACGATGTTATGATGTGGTGTCGACAACATGGTTTATATCGTATGTAGCAATAGTGATATGCAATGTATTTACACCTCAACATTTTATATTTGAAGTTTCATAGTTTTTATGCCAAAATGGTTGGTTTCGTTAGGCTTCTTTTTACCACAAATTAATTTGAATAATATTATTATTTAGGGAGATATCAATTTCTTAAGTTTTCACGCCTCACATCAGGATGTAAAGGGTAAATCCACAAAGAGGGTAGTAGTGAATGTAACTATATCTGGTACAGTAAAAGAATTGGAACATTGAATGCTGTTGATAGAATAAAAACACATGGTAATGTGTGTGTATATGCTCCTACACCGTTACCAACGATTGAAATGTGCTTCCCACAGATTTATCAGTTTCCGATTTCCATTTCATATAAATATGTTAATGCTGTTTGACTCCTGACAGACTGATCAGAATACCGCATTGTAGTAAGTGGTGATTCGACATCTATTGAGGCTCTTAAACTCACCTAGTGGTTTATCCGCTTCACTCACCATTCCACATGTATTTTCTACATTGCTTACAAAGTGCTTCCGTATGCAAGCTATCAGAGAATAACAGTGGCCAGATACCTAAAGACTTCTCATGTTGTTCACTTATCGTTTACGTAATCATTCAGAGGCACAGCACGTTACTACTACTCAATGCACTCGATATTTGACATGCATTCACGTATTTCACCGATACAACAAGTGATGTACTTTAATTAGAACTTGTACTTAGTTGGTTGGAGGCAATCGGTAGGCCTAGGTTTCGTGCTTGATACGTATCTGCAACTTCAACGGAACAGGTGTCCCCACCCAGGATTCGAACCCGCATCACCCGGTGTTGTAGTCAGCAACATTACCATTAAGCCATTCAGGCCGCGATTGGCCTCCTGTAGAAGAGAGTCACATACATCGGTTGGTCACGAAAGAGAAACCAATTTCATGCTGTCTAGTCCTGAGCGCTGACCAAACTCTGCCGAATCTCAGGCGGAACATCAGTTCCGTTGAGGTTGCAGACACGCCCTCCTGATGAGTGCCAAAAAGCACGAAACATAGGTTAGACAGGGCTTCCTGTCGATTGCCTCCATCCACCTAACATCTAACGCTGTGCGCCGCAATGCTGAGCACGTGGCAAAAATGATCTATAAAATTCGGTCTGCACTCAGGACTAGGTAAACATGAAATGGGTTACTCTTTCGTGACCAATCAGTGTATCATGCCAACCGAGTTGGTTGGTCAGGTAAATTAGATTGTAGCATAGTTTGCTTCTTTTTTTTTGGCGAGCAAGGGCATTGGTGCAAACTAGTTTCAAATGGCGGTTTGTATTTGGATAGTGAGAAACTTTACCTACATAGTCATAGTATCACTTTGAGTTTTATAAAGATTACATTTTGTGAATGTTTTTACACAACATGAATGTCAGTGAATAAAAACAACAATACTGGAGTCAAGACTGAAGTGTAACATGGTAGTGCATCCAGGAGCAGGTTAAAAATTATACGCAGTAAACATATGTATAAATCAGTGTAGTCTCTTCCAGATAGCTCACCATAAGGAGATTTTCAATGTATCATGGTTGACAGTTATTTCATTAGGAAATACTTGTTAGCACCTTTAACCAACTACCTATATGTTTGAGTAAATGACTTTGCTTTAACTCGGTTGAGAGTGTCCGTGCTTGCATAAATCTTGTGATCACAATGGTTTGCAAATTCATGCCTCTGCTACTTCGGTTAGATTTCTCTAATACTTTAGCTGATGGTTACCTGACCTTCAGATACTCGAACGTTTATTCCTATCGATAAGTCTTCTCTTGAGCATTAAAAAATCGAAATCTATTCAGCTACCTTGTGCACATTCGTGAGCCACACCTAATTTGAGGGCTAATGATACTACCTAGCTACCCAAACCTAGGTAGGTGGAACGGTGTCCTAACCGGTGACCCAGTGGTTAAAGGTTAACTTCCTGAACCAATGAGCCACAACTCTACTCTCTTGAGCATAACCATTTCAATGTGTTCAAACTTAACGGTTAATCAACCTTACTCTTATTCATATAAATTTGTTTTAACTATTTACAATACAATGTTGGCAACTCCCCGATAAATTATTCGTTTATTCAAGACATTGATTGACGCATAATACATTGAAGCTTTTTTTTTGTTATTAAGTAACTTGAATTGGTCAAAACCACGAAATCGAAGCAATTTTTTTCACACGAGTTATGAGCTGTTTGTCAATATTAACTTCTGTTGTGTGTAAATTAAACTAAGATTTCGTATTATCATTAGTTTTTAGACCAAATCCTTTATTGCTATCAGTATATGAGTTATATTCAGTTTCATATTTCTCGCTTGTTTTCTCTTCTGAAAGTATCTTTTGAAATGTGTTGTTCTTTGATAAAATTGACTGGAGATTATATTAATTATTTTCATTGTGATCGATTTTTAGCCGAAATGTTATCAACAAACTTTTTTTTAACCTCTTTTCTTTCACCAACTTAGCTGCTGCCACTGGAGCACAAGCGACTGCTAACACAAGGCAACAGCAACAACAGCAGATATTACAACATGCTCTTTTGCAGTACACCTACTTATTACAACAGCAACAAGCTGCTGCAGCTGCTCAAGCTCAGCAGCAACAACAACAACAGAGCCAACAAGTTAATGCTGCCGCCTTGCAACAGTTGATGAGTGGAGCTGCGGGAAATCCAACAGCCTGTATGACGTTGCTACAAAATTTATGGGCTCTAAATGCGGCGTCGAATGGTGTAAAGAAGTAATGTTACGACTGTCGTAGTTTTCCAGTAAATTGTGACTTCACTCGTCGTGTTTTTGTGTAGTAATTATTCGTCGAAGCTTTATGATTTCATTGACCAGTATTTCAGTTTTGCTGTGCCTTATTACCTCCATTGCGTACAGCGCTCTTTGACACAAAATAACTGGGATCATATATCTTAGGCCGTTGTTTTCATTTTTCTACATCTGATTGTGGTTGAGTAAACAGACTTCATCCTTTGAAATCATATGTGTCATTTCCGTTCTTTGCATTGTATATATTCCCATAAATTTGTAGCATGGTTTCAGTCCCATTAGCTTTCACAATGCTACTTCTCTGATCTTCAGTGAACATATCGTTTGTGTACTTGTAACAAACTTTTGCTTTTATAACTTCAAATGAAGTCTCTGCTTATGTTTTTCTCACTACCTTTCGTAATACTTATGAAACAGGATATTCAGGCCATCCCAATATTGTCTAGTCTTGTCCCCTAAGCTGTCGGAATATGTCATCTTTTTGAAATATTTTCCGAACAAATATGTAGGCTAGATATGTCTGGGAGTTCAGTTTCAGATCTGTGACACTAACATTGAGTGTTGCTTTAATCCATTTTAAGTTTGTGAGCAAGATTCTATGACCGGTTGTACCGGGGCTGGAGAGTGGCATAATGTTCATTTGGTGTATCCTGGGTTCTCAGTTGTATCGCTTTCTTACTGTGCCGCCGGTGGCGTTTACCATAACGTATTTCGAACGTTCGATGACCTGTGGGTGTGCATGTGCGGCTTAGTTTGGAAGTCACTCATGTACAATTCATCTAATGTTATAAGTCACTCGGATGATGACTGACATTGATTTTTACATTCGATATTTACGCATAAACTCAACTTACTAAAGTTCTAATATGCCCATAGGTATTGGAATACAGTCTTCAACAGAGTGACGTACTCATCTGCTACTGCTTAGGGTGACGGACGTCACCACAACACTACCTGATCGATAGAATTGAAGGGCCTATTCAGGTCAAAAAATAGCGTCGAGTAGCCGTAGGGACGACCGTGTTATAGAAACTGCGGAGGGTAAATATGTAGTCGATATACGCAGATGAGGCCTGAAACCTGCCTAGTTTCTTCGATTTTTAGTTTTTCGCTTAGACGAACCCCACATGGAGTATTCTAAAAGTGGGCAGATGTATACTTTGCAAAGTGGAGCACTTACCCCAGTACTATAGCAGTTACGTATGATACACCGCAGAAGTTTACATTACTTATTTTTGCTATAAACTGCTTGTTCATAGAAAGCCAATTTTATAGAATGTCAGCTCTATATATAAAGTAGAATTGAGTCTCGATAACTGTTGTTCGCGTACTTCGATATCAGGTCAAGATTATTGTTGCCAATGCAGATCCATCCGGATTTGTCAATGTCGAATTGTAGGAGGGTCTTGACGCACCTTGAAACAACCTTAGTTTGTGTCAAATAGTAGCCATAGTGTCATTTAGCTCATGGATATAACAGGAATAAAACACCTTTAGGTTGGCATGTAGAAAAGCTTCACCCGTATCAGACCAGTTGGAACTACTCTTAACGTAGATAATAGAAGAAAAAGGTCCTAGCAACGCTACCCTGCACAACTCCACCTATGATGTATCTAGGAGAAGATAAAACTGGGTTGGCCTCAGTTATTTGGATGCTATCACACAGGAACAATTTTAAGCAGAAAGGTGCGAACACCAACTGGATTTGGCTTTCCGAAGAGTATATTATGTGAAGCCATGTCGAATGCCTTCGATACATCGAAGTTCAGAACATTGCGTGCCTCACAACTACTAGTAATGAGGTTGTAGGAGTCAAAAAGACATGTGTTTAAAGAAGCAATGTCTAGGTTTTGTCATAAAATCGTCTGCAAGTGAGTATTCAGACGTGCTATCTTTTACAACCTTTTCTGTAATTCGTGATGGAACCGTAGTTATATTGATGTGTCTGCAGCTAACTGACATTGGTACTGTCTCCAAATTTATGGGATTACAAAGCTAGATTTTAATTCAGTAGGATATGTGCCAGTATCCACTGACAGTAAATGGCCTGTAGATCTCAAGCGGATATCCTGCCTAATATTTCTCAGGGTTGTCGAATTGTGACTGCCTAGTTCCATTCCTTTTGTTGGTCTGAGGCTTTCGATGGTTTCAGACATATCTTTGGTAATAATTACCACAATTGCGAAGTAGCTACTGAGGAGTGGTTCATTCGTGACAGGAGTAGGTGTTTCACAACTGAAACTATCAAACCAATCGCCAAATAGTTCGCAGGTCCTGGCTATGTTTTAGTAGACTGCCTCGTTGTGGTGCAAGTACTGTATGTTCCCTCATGATTGAAGATGTTTTTTCAGAAGTGCTAATAACCTCTGCGTATTGGAGCTAGTTCTAACGGCTCCTGACTCATTGTTTAGAGCTTGTTATGCACATAGGTTTTTGACTAATTCAAGCGTCTCATGGATTAAATGAAATGAGGAGGAATCGTCAGTGGAGTGTTATGGGTTGGACAATCGTCTCGGCTTTCTGTGGTATGCGTATGGAATGTATTCGGGGGAGTGAGGTTGTAGCATTTTATTTCACTGTATTGTGTTGATATATGTAACAACTCATTGAACATTTTTTGTTTAGTTGTGCTGATAAAGACTTTTTGCTCGGTCGTTGACCAATACAACATCCTGATATATACTTAGCGTTAACTCCTGATATTCACACTGTCTGACACAGGTGGGTCAGCAGTGTCGGGAATTATAAATAGGCGATAGTGTATCTGGACAAGTATATAAAATTTGGAGTCAGATTTCAGAGCTCAACAAGGTGATGATTGTTTAGAGACAGTATCCAGACACTACACAACATTTCTGTGAAAAGGGATACCGTGGCTATCTGCGAGTCAGTAGTAAAATTGCCATCCTATTGGGGGAAATTTAGGCGTTCTATGAGCAATTTTCAGTCTGCCTTTATAACTGCGATATTCGATATTCCGTAAAGCTTGCTTACTACGTGTTTTGAGTGCTGGGACGCGTAGATGATAGAATATTGTATGGTCGCTTTTGAAATAAGTAGTTACTAGCTTGATGTCATGGCAAAATAGTAATTCCGGCATGTCATCACGATTAGATACGTGGATATATCATTTCCATCTATGCACATTGAGCATCTCAGGACCACAACCGGCTATCCATTTAACTTCAGGAATAATTAAGTTTCCAGCAATCACTTTGAAATCCTATTATATCTTCGAACACCAAAGGTTATCTATATTCCTACTGAATAGAACACACACGCTTAGCTGACAGCCAACTCAATGCGCAAGAGCCACTGACTGCAACCCCGGGGCGAATAGAGAGAAGACCGAAGCTGGGTGATTGGAGAGTTTATTACTCTGAGAATATGACAATAATCCCAAAACATGAATAAGCACGCACATGAAAAATGACCTCGTCCCCAATTTGGGACACAGGTAAGAGTAAGATTAACCAGTCAGTGAATAACATTACAATGGGGGCGGAAATAAGCTACTAGTCATACCGTAAAAATGGCGTGAGAATGCAAAGTTAAAAATGTTCAGATCAATGTTTTATGCAAAACTGCAGCCTCACAACAAATCCACACTATGTTAGTGTATATGAATTATTAATTTGACTGGAAGTACATCCGCTGTTCATGGTGCACCTCATCCACGGCCTATAAGCATTTATATTTTTTACCCTGTAAGATAACAAACAGTTAGTCAAGCACCGCATTCATTATGTTGTCTTCATATTTATTTGTCGTAATTTGAATGGACAAAGAAACAGACACGCTTATGGCCTCGATTAGTGCTATAGAAAATGTACACATCTATGTATAGTTCTGTGATCAGGATTGACACCATGTTTTCGTCATCAGTATCTTTGCTACTTAAGTGATTAAGACCGTTGTCTAAGGGGAGATATTCCCCCGGAAAGGGGAGGTGTATCGATGAGCAAGAGTGTAAATAGGTTTCTGGGGATAACGAACTTGTCTTGAAATATTAGTTATACCTCTCTTGGGGCATTCATTTCGACATACTATGTCTACGGGTAATGTATACTTTGTGTTACACACGAGTTGACACCCGCTTATGATTTGTAGTGATAGAAGAAACAGTAGTTTTACGGCATCTAATCCTATTGTATATGAGAGATCGTTTACTAACACTTCTTTGGTCGTTACTGATGTCGCATGTTGTGGTTCGTCATCAGTGGGTAGTTCCAGTTTCGTGTCAGCTGATCCTGGATGTCGTGGGTTGAACATGGCTTTATTTTTAACAGCCTTCAAATGTAAGCTGTCAGACATGGTGTATGGATTACTGAGACGATGTCAATCGACTCAGTTGCTATGAGGTCTACTGAATTTGCAGCCTTTCGCAAATAATCACTTTTTAGCGTGTTTGGTTGATCAGATAAATAAGCTCATAGCAAGAATTTATCAAGTATCTTTCAAATGTCAACCCAAGAGCCTTGATATTAATTATGTCATTTTATTTTCCTCCAAGCCTTCCATCCATTTCGGAGATAATGACCAAGGCTCTGGTTATCGGTGCGTGGAAAATAATCTCTCCAGCATCTAAGCCGCAGAGTTAAGCATCTGTCTCACTTCTTTTGAAGGCGGATACTGTAGTACTTGTTCTCGAATTTTCACTGTGACAGTTTATTTTCGAGCACATGGCTTTATTTCATTGCGTAAAGAAGGCATGGACCAGACTTCTGTTGTTATATCAATAACAGGTCATTTAACTCGGAAAAACTGGATGGTTTCGCTGACCAAGTGCGGTAGATATAGATCATCACTTTTCATTCAGCAATGGATATCGCAACATACAGATGAACCTTTAGGATTTGTCGTGGTGCGAACTTGACAGACACGAAGACCAATAACTAATTATTCGGACTTGTTATATACTCACGAATAAGAGACCAAGGAAGAACACGATAGTGTAGTCGGATGGAATAGTATATTTGGGTGGTTGTGCCAAGATACCGATGCGTTCCGACTAACTGGCTAGAGAGTCGAATGCGAGCAGTGCAACGTAACACGACAGCGTGCCAAATGGCGAGGATGCTCGACTGAACCGAACCATCTTCTGTATTGTCACTCATCTGCGGTAAGGAGGATAAATTCTCTTCTTTATTCACTGAAAATGTCCTTTCTTCGTATTTCAATCCTATGGAACAGTGATGTGAGAGTTATCAAAATAAACATATGTATGTAACCCCTCCAGTCCTGTTCAAGCTGTCTTTCTCGACTATACCTACTTTTATTGCGTTAAGTATGCAGGCTATGAGGGCACCGAATCCACTGTCTGACTGCCAATCACGTTCAAGTATCCACCGACCAATCAGAAGTAAGCATGTGAAGGCCTAAGTAGTTATGAAGGAAAGTGGTTCTGTGTTTACAATTTATAGTTCTGCTTTAC